AAGCCTCCCCCCCCCCATCCCAAATTCGGTAAATGTGGTTCTAGCCACTATGTTGCTGGAGAAAACACTAGAAAATCACCTCAGAGAAGCCAAAAATGGATTATTTTTATTTTTATTTTTATTATATATATATATATATATATTAATGTTGGGTTTTCAAATCCCAGGCCAAACGACATTGTTTTTCTGAGCCATCTTCTTCCTAAAAGGCTTACTCCTCTAAGGGGATGAGTAAGCCTCGAAGAAAGGTGTACGCCTCAGTCCAAAAGCATACGCTTTTGGTGACTTAGCTGCGCCTCGAGGCAAATTCCGAGGCGCGTTATTTAAAACATTGATCCTCGTTGATACTTCTATCATGCTGCCCTCTGACACCATATATACCGAGTTTTGATATGCCCTTACATAATTCCTTTTATTAGAGCCAAAAATATTCATTACCTATGAGAACAAGAATGAAGAAGCATAACTCGAACAAAGCTCTTCCTAACATTCACAATATTGAAAACCATAACTAAATCTCTTAAATTAGCATCAAACTAACTCTACTCTTACTCTTATGAGATATTCAAAAATTTCAGGGACCAGGATCTTTTCTTTTCTTTTGTATAGGGACCAGGGTCAGCACCCTACATCATAGACTACCTATTTCTGGTGGATTCTAATTTTATAATTTTATAAGTTTTAATTAACAAGGCCACATAAAATAAAATTTTCTGATATGAGAATTCAGATCTATAAAATATGACTCACCACCATGTCACATGCTGCAAGAAAAGCATTGAAAGGATGTGGATATGAACATTCAGATATTTGATCCAGCAGAGCCTCAGCGAAATCCAATTCTAGCACTTTGCTGCAACCTATAGAAAGGTTTGCCAGAGTAGAATCATACGGCTTCAAATTTCTCTGCTGCATAATTCTTAACTGCAGAAGGATAACAACAATGTTGCAAAAATCTCTAATTAAAAACGAAACCAAAATGCACAAAATACATTGCCAACAATTGCAAGATCGGTCTTTTTAAGATGATTGGCCTCTGCAATAAACCGATATAACTTACAATTTCCATTCCACTACTGAAACCTCGCTCAGAAGTAACTGCTCTGACAAAGCCATCATATGTATGGCTTGACGGTTGCAACCCAAATTTTTGCATCTAGACAAAAATGGGCTCCTTTAGTATGTCATAAGATGATATCTGAACGAGGTACATACAAAATAAATAAATAAATAAGGGCAGGATAGAGAATCACATAACTAAAACAAAAAGTTGAAATCCACAAAGAAAATAGCCATCACAATCAAAACATACAAAACTAAACTTCTGAAGCTTATAACTACATTGTTCTCCAAACAAGAATATCATATTTAGCATTTTTTTCCAGAAAAAAAAAAGGGAATATCATATTCAGTGAAGGTACCATATGTAAGATTTGCACATAAAAAGGAAAATTCCAGACATTGTAATATATTACACAAACCAACACAAGCTCCTATAGAAAGGTTATTATACCTGTAGGATCAACTGTTCTGCCAAGCCACCATTTCTTAATCGTGCACAAGCATGAATAACATCACTAAACGACCATCTCAAAATTTTCATAACAGGCTGGCTTATATGCATATCAAGCATATCCATTCGAACATTTTCAACTTCTCTAACTCCCAAGCCAAAAGCAGTGCACTGTGCATTAACAGTATGGCCGTCCAAATTCTCACAGTATATGGAAGGAACAGAATGTTTATTTTCCTCCAAATCAAGTTTCTTCAAGTCTAATTCACAGAATGAAGGTATAGGAATGTCTAGTCTTGGCGAATACAACTTTCCTTCAGAAGTTTTATTAACATAAGTGTTTCCCCTGATGGCTAAAGTCACCATATATTGCAACTTCTCATACGCAGATTTTAAATCTCCCAATCTAGTAAAAGACCAAATAAACTTCCGTAGAGGAATAATGCTCAGACTGTAGTGTTTGATATAATCCTTCCAAATTTCATGGGCCGCAGGCAGGTTTTGCTGCCAAACTGCAAGCTGAAAGAAATGAAAATGCAGAGTAACTATCAATGACCCAAATAACTTTAGAATAGATTGGTCCACTGTCAATATTTCACAAAATGCAAGGTAAAAGTGAACTACAAGGAAAACTGTTCACATCACCATACGGACATTGCAAATATTCAAGAGAGCAGCACATCATCATCAACAAAGAGAAAAATGTCAATCAAACAGGATAGTTCCAGACCTACTTTTGATTGAAAAGTTTAATGCTACAGTTGGGGCTTCACTAAGAAATTAAAACTGATCCTTTTATCCCCTTACAAGCACATTGAAGCAGTACAACACAAATGCTTTGAAGCCATGAATGGGGAGATTAATAGTAATCTAAATACATTATATGAGTCACCCATACCAATTCTCATGTTAGAAAAAATAAAACTGTTGTTAAAGTGATGAGTCAAAGGCTTTGTGCTTGAAAAGAGGAACAAAATAATATTTAAACAAATACAAAACCGTTTTGCTTTACATACCTTGAGAAGCTCTGAATATGTAACTTCATTCTTCCCCACCATTTGATGCTCCATCAAGTCCAAACACTGATTGGCATTTTTTATACTCTGCATTTTGGCACAAGCCCTTAAGAAACTGTTGTAGATAGGTAGAACCGGATAGATGCCAGGACTTTCTCCAAGGAAATTTATCAACTTAAATGCCTGATCAAAGAACAACAAATGTGGACACAAGAATATTAAAATATTAACAACTGACAAAGAATGATGGTAAAAGTATGGTTGCATCTTAATGGTGGTTCTGATAACTACAGTAATAATATTACAGTAATCCTACCAAGATAGTTTTACTATTACCAGATGACTAAGCTAGCTAGATAATACCTTTTAAGTATATAGCATGAATCCTACCTCCTCCAAATATCCTCCTTTACATAGAGCTTGCACCATAAGCAAAGAGCATATGTTATTCAGGCTAATCTCTTTTTCATCCATTATTCTCCAAGTCTCCATGACAAACTGCACGAAAAGGAAACAACTGCCAAATAAGATACACTTAGATGCTGAGACCAGTACCTATAAAAAGCAACTATTGACATGCAGAAAAATTGTAGGACACCATCCTTACCTTCGCAATGGCATTTTCGAAAGTTATTTAAGTCAAATAAAATTGGCAATGTGATCCTACCGATATAAACATGTTCATTGCACAGAAAGTGTCTATATATAGTTTGCTAGGTTTTCCTTTGACACTCTTCACATTACCATAATCAGGCACAAATATCAACAACTCAAATGCACTAACTCTCATTATCTCAGCTAACACACAAGTGAACTCAATCCTATGTATGTCAAACATATAGGTTAAATGGTGTGATTAAACACTAACAAAACAAATCAACCTACTTAAACAATGTATACAACACATAGTAGAATCAGACACATAAACACGCATACACAGTGTGTCTCAACTAATTGCATGTTCTTCAGCTTACCAATGGATCAGGTGACTTAGCACAGTAATTAAGAATATAGATGAAATCATCAGCTCTTAACGAATCATTCCCATGGCCAAGATTCAAAAGCAGATTGGAAGCTTTGCCTCTCTCACCCAAGCGTAGTGCATCAATAATTTGTATCTGCATGGACCTGGTAATTGATTCTGCGCTGTGCCACAAAACTTCATGACCTGCATTTATCATCTTGCGCTCAAATTAACCAAAGGTTACTGTAGAGACATAAAGTAAATGGTCTGCACATTTATCCTGCTTCAAGATATAACCAGGGCTAAGAAAACGAGAAGAAAAATATGTCAAGCCAACTAGAAATAATTGGAGTTTCTTTATAAGAAATTTTAACAATTGCAGTTCAAGCTTGATTTGACTACCGAGATAGTACCAAGTAATTGATAGGTACAGTGCACCTATACATACTATAAAACATGCATATTTACTAATCTAGGTACCCCGCACAAGTTGAAGAATTTTGAAACATTACCATTTGAAGTTGTAAGAGTTCGAGAATACTCCAATCGGTCGGGACCAATTCTTCGTCCCTGCAAAAACAACACTGATAATGAAGCAGAATATAACAATAATAGTAAAGATAAGAAGAAAATTAGAATTCTACTTCCACTCGTTTCTCTAACGAAATTGTCCCAGAAACCATATATTATAAAAACATACATGGTATTGTGGTTGTGACTTAAAAAGTGAATCTGCAATTGACCGCAATGGAACCCTCGCTCTGTAAAAAGAAGTAAAAATGCGAACAAAGGTCATGTTATGCTGATGCCGTATAAATGCACGTTCAACTACAATGTACTTACAGAGGTCTGTGCATGGTCAGAGCCGCTCAAAACCTATTGTATATGCTCAAAATGCTTTCTTTCATGGTTTACTGGACAACCGAGTTCCTTTTTCTTCAAAATTTCACCCGGATTCGCAGTGTTTGAGAGGCAAAGATTCGATTTTGGGAAAAGGGGTAGTCAACTATGAAGCATGGATACACCAATTTAGTGGCGTATCCCGTATCGGATACTTGTTTGGATACGATACGCTTCGGATACGGTCCGATACGCATCGGATACTTATCGCAGTCAACGGATACGTTAGTTGACTAACGGATATGTGTATCCGACATTCCGGACTCGAGTATCTGACTTTTCGGATACGTTCCTCCGGACGAAGTTTGCCGTTGAGGAGACCCTGGGCGCTGCGTGTGAAGGGAGAGAGAGAGATCAGCGCGCGCGAGGAAGGAGAAGATGTCGACTAACCTAATTTTTATTATCCCAAGTGACGACGTCGTTCGCTAAAACAGGATTTGTAATATTTTTTTTTTACATAGATCTGTTTATGGGTTTGGGTCTTAAGCAATAGTATTAAAATGGGCCATGGGTAATGATAAGTCGGGTGAAAAAAGCTATACTGGCCTAAAAAAATATAAAGAATCAGAAAGAAAGCCCATTTTACAAGCCTATATTTTTTATTTTTTAATATTTAAAATTTGTTTTAAGCTACATATATTTTTAATAACCGTATCCATAACATATTGTATCCTAGTTTTTAGAGATTTGCTATATCCCCATGTCGTGTCGTATTATATCGCCATATTTATATCCGTGTCTGTGGTTGGAAAATTTTGGTTTTGTATTATGGTTATGGCTTGAATTTTTTTGGGTGAAGTTAGATTTTGTTTTGGCTAGAGAAGGAGATGATGAAAATGAAAGATTTGTCAATGGGGTAAGAGAAAGAGAGTGAAGTTTCATATAACAAGGAATTGAAGTTAGAGGGGACCATGTTGCAAAATATAAAAATAAAGGGAATGAGAGCATAAACACTACAGATTCTCGTTGAGCTTCTTGAAAATCACTATCAAACCCTTGAACCAATATAGCCTAAAGTCAAAAAAAATCAAGAAATAAGCTTTAAATTTCAGTTTTCACATCAAGTTATGATTGTTGTATATGTAAAACCCGTGTATCATTTTTCAATATTCAATTCAATTCATATATACAACATTAAATTATATACAAACAAAGAGAGAAAGAAAGAAAAGAAGAGTGAAATTGCTTGAGAGAGAGAGAGAGAGAGTGGGGTAGGGGCCTAGGACCCCTCTGGTCCCTACGTGGCTCTGCCACTGAGTGGAAGCTCAGCCATGGGGCTGCTGGGATTGCCTCTTTTCTTTTTCTTCTTTTATGACTAGCTTTTTAATTCTTATGTCGAAGGTAAACTTGGTTTTTCCTTGGAAGCACGAATATTCTTCTTAGATATTTGATGGGTTTAAATAGAAACACAATTTTTTTATTTTTTTATTTTTTGTATATATGGCCCAACTCAAAAAAAAAAAAAAAAAAAAGGGGTTGTGCCCCCTTGGTTCATTGGGCCCCGGCCAAGGCCGGTCCTATGCCTAATTTTAGAAGTTTCTCAAGTTGAAATCGTAGGTTTCTTTTTTTTATTTTTTATTTATAAATACAAGCAATAAATTAAATTGCAAGGAAGAGCGAGTTTCTCACACACGTTATCAAGATGTGGGTTCAACCTGAGACCACTGGTCTACAAGTGAAGACCATTTTCTTCTGAGTTAGACTCTATTTGCCAAACCCTTCTTTTTTTTAATTTTTTTAAAGAGTTTATGCATTTTGATAGAAAGTGAAAATTTCTCGAGAAAATGCCAGGCACTATAACATTTGGCCTTGTAGATTCATACACGGTAACGCCATCTCTAATGGAGAGGGCCAAATGTCAAATTTTGGCAATATAACCTGGATGGAGCCCCTAATGCATGTATAGGGCCAGTCAAAATATCAATCCAGTCAATATCTTGGGTGGAATAGCAGTCGACGTTTTACCTGGACTGAAATTTGGTGGAGCCCACTCGCACAACCACTACCTCATGTGCAAAGTCATTTTTGTAGACCCATTAGAGTTAAAACTATTTTAAAATAATTTAATAAGGCTACGGACCCAAAATGTGAGTCTAGATAGTTGAGGGAAAAACTGTTTGAATACGGGCAATACATGAATAGTTATATTTTGAAGAGTGAAAATTTGGATTTAGCCCCTTTAACATTGGAGATGGCCTAACGGTTCTCAAACAAGTTCAAATATTTTCAACTTTTGTTGTTGTTGAACAAATAGAAAATAGGCTAGAAAATATATGTAGGCATCATAATAACATGGTTTTACATTCGGTTTTGTTTCTTCTCATTTTTCTTAACAAAGCTTTTGTTTCTTATTTCACTTTCGTCGACATGGAGCGATTAAAAGAAGAAACAATTGGAATCAGGCAAAAAGGCCAAAAGAAAAAGAACAGAAAACTACAATATTCACCAACGCTGCCAAGCCAATACGACGCCGCGCCGTTCTACGTCACAATTCTATCCCAAGCTTCCTGCCGTCGTCCACGTGTCAATATCAAATTGCCTATATCCTGTGAAAACATTGCGTGTGAAGCAAGGAGAGCGACTCGAATGATACGCCGCAGCCACGTACACATACACACGTAAACAAAAGCCGTCCGATGATATCTCTATCTCTATCCACAATCCAGCCGGCGAAAAATCACGTGACAGCACACGTGGCCTGTCCTCCTACCTTGCATGCACCACGTGTATCTGACACAGTAATTTCCCACACACACCACCACATTTGCTCGCCACGTTTTATGAGCACTCAGCTACACCACCTACCTTCTCACACGTGGCGACATATCAATCAATTTCGTTATTTAAGCAAGTCGCAAGAATTTGGATATACAAGATAGATTCAATCCAGAGAGAGAAGAGAAAAAGAGTTGGAAGAAAGAATATCAAGGAGTGTTTGTTTCCCGGGAAAATAATGGTGGCAATGACAAAGGGCAACGCTGAGGAACCAATATTGTGCAGAATGGACCGCCTTGACAACATGCTAAGGCAATTGGAGGAAATCAGAGGGTGCAATAAGAGTAATAATACGAGGGCATCACATTCGCCCAAGAGCAGTTCCTTCGCATCCACACCTTCGAGGTTGAGCGACGGAGTGGGGCACGTGTCGTCATCTGCGGAGCTGATATCTCCGGAGAGCCTGGAGAAGCACTGCCGTCCGATGGAGCACGTGATGATGGAGACGGACGTGAAGGGGACGCTGATCGAGAGGCTGGATCACGTGGAGGACCGCGTGCTGAAGCTGTGCATGCAGCTGGAGGAGGAGTTGACGGAGAGCGCCGAGAAGAAGAGAGATGAGGAGGAGATCATGAAGAGGAGTGAGAGAGAGGAGAAGATCATCATCGATGACATTGGAAAGAGTCAGGATCAAGTTAAGAAGAAGAAAAAGAAGGGGTTAAAGCAACTTATGAATCAGTATCTTATGGGAAAAATATAAACCCAATAAATCAATAAGTTCACGTAATAATTCAGATGTTTTTTTTTTTTTTGGGTTCTCCCACTTGTCCGCTTTTGTTTGGAGATTGATTGGTGAGGATGTAAATCAAGCGAGAAAGCACAAGAGACAATCAACAGATGCCTTTGGTGGTGGTAATTAATTTTTATTTTAATTTTTATTTCAGTACATGGCATAACACATGGAAAAAAAAAAAAAAGGGTTTAATTAATAATGGAAATTCAAGCGTATATATTTATCGCATGATTTTATGAGGAAAATATCTAGATTTCTGTTTTAGCTGAAAATATCTGTTAGGGAAGTATCTAGACTTCTGCTTTAGCTGAAAATATCTAAAAATGACTTGATAGTCTCTAAAGATTGGGCAAGTGGTGGTGGAGGTAGTGGCACTAGGGGAGAGGGTGGTGGCGGCGGCGGGAATGACAGTGGTGGTAGTGGCAATGACTGTGGGGTTGGTAATAGAATTGGTGACGCTTGGGGGTGGTGGTGATAGCCACGACAAGATGGTGATCGTGGGTGGTTGTGGTAATGGAGGTGGTGGTGATAGTTATGATAAAATGATGGTAGTAGAGGTGGTGAAATTATATCTTGCGAATAAAAAAAATGTATTTATTAAAATATCTATAGGGAAGTAAATATTTGTCATAATCTAAAATTAGTCTAGAATGAAATGAAATCCGTTTATTTTTTTTATATTTCCTAAACTTTTATTTGAATGGAGAGTTTTGGATTGAATATAAATTTTGATATATTTCAATTTTTAAACTTCTTTCAATCAATATATATAACCTATCATCCTCTCTCAATTATGTATTCAATTAAGATTTTAAAAGAGTTCAATAGAGTTATAAAATTTACAAAGTTTACAGAGTTTAATATATTTTGATTTCTATGAACTCCACATAGAAATTAATTTAATTCATAGATTGATTTGAATGGTGTTTTTTAGAATTTATCATAAATTTTAAAAAAGTTTATTAGAATTCTAAAATATTTTGTGGGTTATTTATCATTTATTTTTTCATTAATCTGATAGGTCTACTTTCTCCAACTTCATACATTCTGACATCAGTATCATAAACAAATACCAAATAACAACAACTAATAAATAAATAAAGGATGCATGTAGATCGATAAAGAAAGGCTATCATATATATATATATATATATATTATGATGTACAGAAACAAAAAAATTAACAGCAACTAAAAAAAAAAAGGAAAAGTAGAAAAAAAAAAAAAAGCTTAGAAAAAGAGAAGAGATGAATTAATTACAGCAACAACTCGTTTAATGCATGTATGAATGGCCCATTCATGTTGGCCAATTTAACCCAAAATTGTTCTTGTTCTTCTAGTGAAATTTCTTAGGGAAATCACCAGAGAGGGCATGTTGATGAAGTTTTATAAATTTTTGTGTTTTTGTGTACTCATTTAATTATCTTCACGGTATGTGTGTTCATTTGCGCTTTGTAAAGTTCTTTAATGACAAAGTCTTGGAGTGTTTCTACACAATAAGGCTTGTATGCCTATTCATGGTGGTGAAATTGTTGAACGTGTATTCATATGAATAATGAGGATTAAGACTGCTAATTATATGTGTCGTTAAATTAATCTAATGGCCTTTATTAAAGAGATCCTCACGAGTACACAAGTCACCAAATTCTGCTGACTCATCATCCCAACAAAAGTAAGAAAATATAGGTGGCAAATAGTGAATGGACTTCAAACAAGGGAATTAAGAAATTTGTTGAGGTACAACTAACAACTACATACGCAACTTCCATTTTCACATCCGAAGTTGCATTTGGGACCGCACACTTTGTCGCAATCTTTGTCAAAAACACAGTCATCAGTAGCATCTGTTGCTACTGCTGTTACAAACTTGGCCTCTTTCGAATCCATCACCGCTTGGTGTTGCTGTCGACCTTCGCCTCTCGGGCTCAAACCTGTCCATCAATTCAACAGTCAACTTCCATTCTGAATTCGCCGTATGCTTACAAAAATAAAGGAGGAGGAAAACTTACTTGCTGCAATAACCAGGACAATTAGGCAAGCCAGTGCGAGGGGGGCAGCCTTGGTCATTTTGGTATTGTGGTTATTAGCAATAGCGAGTGAGAGATGCTGGTAATGTGATTTGGTTAGAGCTCCTCTGCTTATTAGGCCCTATTTATAGTTTTTTTTCCCCTTCATTTTTCTTAATATGAAATTGAACGTTTCTTGATCAATTGTTCTTAATTAGGCCCTTATATATGTAATTAAGAAAATGAACGTTGCTTAAAATTATTTTCCAGTTTAATGACACCAATTTACGGGTCATCTTTTCTTAATAACTCGAGTTTTAACTTAATTATCTTTCTCAAAAAGCTAAAATTACTTTGTCCAAAAACAAAAAATAAAATAAAACCGTTGATTTCAAAATTGGAGTCAATCCATATATATATGGTAGACAATCAGGTGCTGATTAAAACAAAACGAGAAGGCCCATAATAAGAGATATCAAAATTGATATAGATTGCTGCTTTTTCCACCTCCTAATTCTATTTCCTTATAAAGTAAATATGAAAAATAAAATCATATATATTTTCATCCACTATTATTCCTAAAATACCCTTTAATTATTAATGAGTAATGTTATTTCCACCTCATGTCCTATATCCCCGCCCACCGTGTAAATTTGAAAAAACATAATCATATTTAGGGGTGTACAAACCTATCAATCCAATTCAATCCAATCTAATTTTAATCGGTTTCGAAGAATTGACGGATTGTTTCAAAACTGACATGATTGGGTTGAATGACAGATTTGCTTGTGAGAATCCAATTCAATCTAGTTAGTTTTATGTTTATTTTGCTATTGTTGGTATTTGTCGTTGAAAAGGTTATGAATATTTTAAATCATTTTAATGAAGTTATGTTTAATATATTATATAATCAAAATAATTTTCTCTAATATTTCATTTATATTTTACATTTATGTCTATTAATATGTTTGATTATATTAAACATAAGGATAAATTAATATTTCATTATTGTCTTTTTCTATTATCAAAACCGAGCATCCAATTCAATCCAATATCAATTGGATCGAATCGGATTGGATTTAAACATCTAATATGATTGGATCGGATTAAAATTTGGAGTGTATTCAATTAAGAGTTTAAAAGAGTTTGTAAAAATTTGGGTGTATTCAATTCAGATTTCAATTGACTTTTAAAAAATACATTGAAATCTAGGCGTATTCAATTATAACTTTTTAGAAGTCAAACCAAGTTTAGGTGTATTCAAAAAGTCATTCATTTTGAAGGAATTAACGAGTTGCCCAATTTTATTAGAATTTAAAGTAATAAGTATAAATACATATCAACTCTAAGAACTTTGAAAATGCTCTACACCAGTCTTTGAACATGTGTGTTTGTCAAGTGGAAGTTAAAAATCTCTTTTCTACTACGTTTTCATATATGTATGATTTCTCATGGATAGTCTTCCCAATAGTTGCTATTGTTGTACATCATAAATCATATATCTTCAATATCGATAGTCTTTGAACCATTGTTTCTCTTTTTCCCAATAATTGCTGTTGCTGTTACAAATAAAAAGCTCCAATCTCTTCTATTTGAATAGTTATTGTTGCTGTACATCATATATCTGTTGACGCAGAAAAATGGTTTGGTAATTTCCCGCGTAACTTAGTGATTTAGTCCCTTCGGTATCTGATGTCCTCGGTAGGGTGTGCGATCTGTAAGATAGCAAACACACGGTAAATCCTAGGGCACCGGTGTGGTACCGGCCGAAGGCTCTCCGATGCTTTAGTAAGTACGGATTTAGTAAGTTTGAACTACAGATCAATAGGTAGTATGCCGTAAGTTCTGATTGATTACCTTCAAGCTGGGATGGATGTCCTCTTTTATAGGCATTGGGAGGTGTGCAATTTGTCTAGAGTTTTGATGTGGGACTCTGGGCATCAGTTGTGAGGCTGCCACGCGTCAGAGGGGCGAGGTTGCCCTAATGTTGCGATCGGTAGGCTTGTTGCCGAAGAGGGGTGCCGAAGGCACACTTGGCCCTGGTTTAGTCACGTGTTCGATATTCATTGGCTATTCATTTTGGTATAAACAGGAGTCCCCCAAGTCCCCTTGCGAGAGTCTTCGGAAGGGGATTTGAAGTCGTCTTCGGGAGGAAACACGGGATTTGAAGTCCCCTTCGCGAGAGTCTTCGGAAGGGGATTTGTTCCTTCCGGCATCATCGGTTCAGAGGCCGACGTTGGCGAAGTCAAAAGGTCGCGTCGAGCTGACGGGTGAAGGGACATCTGAGCGCTTCGACTTCCTCGCCTTGCGTGCCGTCTGCTCCCCATAGGATGAGCGACACGTGGCGAAAGTAATGATGGTGCGCGGCGCATTAATGCGCCGTTTGGTTTTTCGATGAGTACCGTTGTCAAACTCCCCCCTATAAATAGGGGTGACCCCGGTGGCGAATTCACTTTGCATCCAGTAAGAAGTGAGAGCTCTGTCTGAGGCAATTTTCGACGAGTGCTAACGGCAACCAGACGATTTCCGTCGAGATCTAACGGTAGCCAGGCGATTTCCGGTACCGCCAACGGTAAGGAAGGCGATCCGTGTCCAGGCGATCTGAAGCAATCTGCGTTCATTTCCAGAAGCCAAACAAAGGTATCATTCGGTAACCCTACTTTTCCCTCTTTACATACCTTAAGAGTTTACGTCCTTCCTTGGTTTGAACTAGACTGGCCATATGGTTCCATTCGGTAGTCTAGTCGCCATAGGTGGTGATGTAGGGATCGGTAGGATAGCATCCGGCATGAGCCTTAGTTTCCCTTTTGCCTGTTTTTGTAGATGTCCGATAGCGAGTCATTCTCCGAGCGCGAGCCCAATGCGTTCGACGAGGAGTCATCGGACGATCTCTTTGACTCCGACGTTAAAGCGGCAGGGCCTGATACCGAGGAGGGGAGTGATACCGATGTCGAGATACTCGGCGAAAGGCCCAGCCCAGTCCCCATACACGACATCGGGAAGGGGCTTATGACCGCTCCGGTACCGTTGTCTATCATATATAGCGACAGTCGCCACGTGGGGCTTGGCGCCCCTAGGGAGGCGAGCGGTGGTAGGCCTCCACTTCCGGCCGTGGTGAG